AATGAGGAGGGGTTATGGATAAGATAGAATGTGAAAATGGAGTTACTTCTTAGTAATATAGATTGTGATTTTTCTAAATAGCATTTATTGAACAAATTTTTCATTTTATTTTTTAAACTATTACTAACTTTAATCCATTTTTTGACTCAATAATTACTGATTTATCTTTTACCCGTTAAGTTTAACGGTACTAGCTCGGTAATTAAGGTGTTCGGCATCCAGCTTAAGTTGCATTTTCAAACCACGTTCACCCCGCTTTGGTCTGGGCAACTAGGTAGTATTATTAGCTCCCACACTTTGAGTGTGTTTGACAGTCAAATAAACATAACCGTACTTAGCAAGGTGTTGGCAGACATAACGGTCGTTTAACTACAAATTTGTTTACCAATTTTGTATCAGAAATGTTTTCCTTATGTGGGTCACTTGTAGCCTATTATTGTACCTGTATGGACACATCGGTAATGAGGCAGGAGAACTTAAATGTTTGTAAAAATACAAATTTCCATGCTTCTTTCCTATCGAGTAAAAAGGTGAGGATAGGACTTTGAAGTTTGTTATCAGTGAATGGTAAGAAATCGCAACCTTTAGTCGTCACGATTACCTATAAAAAATATCTATTTGTTGTTGTAAATATTATCGACTGAGAATATCTTTGCTTTCAATCCATCTACATTTATGCGACTGCTTGTGATATGATTAAAAACTAATTCCGCGATAGATTTAGACAAATATATCACCAGTGAACAATTTTCAGTAACAATTTATATTTCTTATACTGACTGAAAGCTATGGCATTATCTCTGGTAATATAATTCGAGTACTGGATGACTTTATTCCTTCTGAAGATCATTTTAACTTATATGATCGTAATTTCGACTGGCTTTCGTATTGATGATAACTGATTCTTGTTTCTGAAACCAGCTTACTTAATTCCATTTTTTGGCCAGCAATACTCAATGATGCTTTTCTCACTAAATAAAAGTTCTGAATGATGAAATTCTAATGATTATATTTAACACTTATTTCTTTACAATTAACTGTTACACTGTAATAAAAACAATGATAATTATAATTGATTTCAAAAATATTCATATAAGGGATATAAATCTAGCTGGTATTGATGAAATAAGTAGCTTTGCTTTTCAGTGAAGTCAATTTCATTGAATCCACAGTGAAGTGATAGATACTTAATTGTAATTGTTGAATACTAATGAAATCTCTTGATCCAAAGTTTCATTTTAATATTTATGGTATATAACACATTCTATAAAAAGCATTTTATAGATGTTGATCAGTATTTCCTTTGTGATGTTGAGTTCTCTGAGTTGAATGTTTTAATTGCAAAGCTTTGGTTACCTTTTTAGATAATATCATTAGGGCTTACTTCAAATATAAATTGTCTAGAATATCAGAGGAAGATTCACAATCAAACCAACCACATCATCGATATTAAAATTATCAAAACCATTCGCCTGAGCTATACACTTTTCAGATCATCTGAAAATCTTACAACCGTAACATGCTTTTAGTTAATTATTATTTCTTAAATTACTACGAATTGTCCTGTATTGTTTATTAAACAAACTAATGATTTGGAAACAATTAAAAAGGCCAAATAAGACAGTTAGAAATATAAAAACAACAAGGATAATAAAGAAAATAAAATTGTCCACATTGTCACTGACATCGAATAATGAAATCAAAAATGCAAGGGTAGTTTTAGAATAAATGCAAACTGTTTGTGAATACAGAACGGGAGTTTAAATTCTTTTGTGCTTAAGTCTTCGGTAAATATAGTCGAGCGCCCTTGATTATTTCTATGCTATACTCGAAGGGATGTTTCTGGCTAAATCCCTCAACCAGTTTCTATCGTATCCGTAATCGCAGAGAAGGATGGATATTTAGTGTCTATTCTAATTTGAACAATGCAGTTCGCATATTTTTTTTCTGAATCATTTCAGTGAATTTTGACCGGAGTTTCATGTAATGCACCAATTTTATCAAGGAAATAATTTGTTTTAAAAATCAATTCCCTCTTGGAAGACAATACATCAGCACTAGTTACCCTATAAATAATGTTCAATTAAGGTCACCTGAATGGAGGTTATATATCACAGGTACTACCATAGCTATGCGCAATAGTTGTCTGGTATAGTCGAAGATGTTTTAATGGGTTTCATCAAGGTAATTCTTACTGTCAACTAAATTAACCATACATAATGGAATAAACCTATGATTTCTGTTTTGGGAAAGGAAGTTTTTTATTGATTTATACATATTCCGAGTGATATATATTCGAATACAGTGCTTTAAGCAGTGGTTTGAAACTTGTAATTCCTAGGTTTAAACATGAACTCCATTCACATTGGTTTAATTAGTGAAGTAATATTACTATCCTATACACTTAAGGTGTAACTCAATACCGATCATATAAATATTTACTTGATAAATGAAACATTTTAAGTTTTCATTGATAATCAATATTGGGAGTTAACATAAAATCGGCTAATTCTTATAAATGGAAATAATAATTGGTTTATTTTCACGATTTTTGTAAGCTTAATTCACGAATATTATGTATACATTATGTTTCGATAATAAAAAAATCCAAGGTTTTGTATCACGTAGATATTGGTTATAAACATAGATTCAAAACAATGTAAATCAGTTTGCATTTACTTCCATAATGAAACAGTCTTCTTTAGTGATATGTATACTTATGTAATCGTCTTATTAAAAAAAATCTTATTCAATGAATGAATAGAATAACAAAATAGGAAATAAGAAATTTCACTGCCTTTCTAAACGTTAAAAAATCAAACTTATATTGATGTTATTAAAAATCCTAGATGTATGTATTTACATGTTATGAAAATAATTTGATTTTATATAAATTATTTTCTCCTTATTAGAGTTATATGATTTAAATAAAATGCTTGCTTCGTCGATTTCCGCCTGTAGCATTTTCAGGGCTACTGCTGGTCTTAAGCCCAAGTAAAGGAGAAAGGTTGGGCATGAAGTTGGCAACCCCATCCCTTAGAAAACAACGTTGCTAAAAAAACGCTGACGACAATTGTCTACGTAAGATACTGAATGTCCGTTAGCTGGTTGCCATCAGCAACAATCTACTGTGGGAGTGAACAAACCAGCTTCCTACTGAATAGGAAATTAGGAAAAGACGTTAGAAGTGGATAGGACATACATTATGGAAATCACCAAACTCAATTATGAGTCAAGTCCTAACTTCGAATCCTGAAGGGAAACGGGAAAGAGGAAAGCTGAATAACGCACCACGTCAGGAATTGGAAGCAGACATCAACAGGATAAATAGCAACTGAAAAGGACTGCTCAGGACAGAGTTGGATGGAGAATACTGGTGAGCGGCCTATGTTCCTCCATGAGGAGTAACAGATGTAATTAAGTAAGTTTAATTTGTCAAGATAAGATTTAAAATTCAACAAATTATCTAGGTAAATTAATGTATTAACAAAATGTATAATCAAAATATCCAACAATGTAGGATTTAAGTTTCATTTATTATCATATTTGAATAGACAATTTTATGCCTAATGTATATGGACAAATATAAATTTTCGATTCAGTATAATGATTTAATAATGAAACAATAATTTACTCCTAATTATTTGTAGGAAATAGACGAAAAAATTATTGAATGAAGTTTTTAGGTTTATTTTATTGTTTCAAAAAAATTGAATTTTAAAGTAAACATTCGAATACAATCAGAGAGGGGTTTTGTATATATCATAGTAATTTAATAGTTGGATTTATTTGTCAATTGAAGGTAGATCAGAACCGGTTGAACTCCACTGGCGGCAGCCTCCTAAACATATTTCCTGGAGTTCTAGTGAGCAGCCGTGACCAGTGGAGTTCAACCGGTTCTATTGTGAGGTAGTAACTCACTGAAGACAATGATGGATGTGTTGCTCAATTTCGTTGATTGATTGAATTTAGATATTAACACCGTTGGATGCCAGCTCAATTGTTTAGAGATTAAGCGTTCACGCGCGAGACTGACAGGTCCTAAGTTCGAATCTCGCGAGACGGGATCGTGGATGCGCACTGCTGAGGAGTCCCACAATAGGACGAAACGGTCGTCCAGTGCTTCCAGGTTTTCCATGGTGATCTACCTTCAATTGACTCATCAATCCAACTATTAAATTAATAGATTATAATTCTTTGTAAACTTTAATCCATCTAACAAAACTCAAATCACTACTCAACAACTTCATAGACTATGATCACATTCCAATGTGAATTTCCTTAACTTAAAACAAGTTAAATTAAGTCATATTACATTCAAGACATCAGTTTTGTAATACATCTACTTTACTAGTATGATCAACTGACTTAATTTAATCTACTAAATTTAGCATTCATTAATTCATCTAAATTATCTAAGACATTTTCAATAAGATTTATCATAAAAATCAAATTTACAGTCACGATAATCGTTATAACTAAAATAAAAGTATGATTTTAGTTAAAAAAAAAAGGAAGAAAAATTCATGCATAAATTCACTCATTATCTAACACAAATAATTACAGTTTTTATAGGCAAATATAGATAGTTGCTAGTGATGGTATCCAGGACGCACGTTTCTTCCTATTTCGGACTCGTCGGCTGGATGTACCCTCATCTCAGAGTTGTTGTTCACTCTAGGACTCGAACCCAGTACCGTTCGCTTCAAACGCCATCGCGTTATCCAGAGTGAACATCAACTATGAGATGCAGTTACATCAAACCGACGAGTCCCGAATAGGACGAAACACACGTCCTGGATTCCACTGCTAACCACCATCCATCTTTGCTTAATATGCTTATGACTGAAGGCAATATCGAGGCAATCTGCACAGTATGAAAATATGCCAATAAGAGACTGATCAATTGCAGTTCTGAACATCAATGTGAAGATTCAAGTAAAACAATACCAAGTGAATTGAATAACAGTTTTTGTATAAAAACAATAATTAACACTTACTGTCTAAATATTTCTTTACCAACTTTAATTTTCCTATCATTTGTTGATAAAATATTTTCCAATTCAGATAATAAACTTGAATGTTTTCTTTGTTCCATACGCATTTTATATGGTGAATTTGTTATTATAATCTACTAACTTTGAAAGATTTAAAATTCATTACAAATTCTATAATATTTGTAATTAGATTTTGTTGTCGTTGTTTTAAGTTCGAGTCCTTTTGCTTTATTTTTTAGTAAAAAAAGTTTTGTAGTTGTATTCTTTACTTCCGTTTATGTACTTAATTTACAAAATAACTTTCACACTGTCACACATATATGTATATATGTACAATATGAATATTATAAATATATATTTACAGAAATTAGATTGTTATGAAAGGTAATCAATAGTTTGTGCTAATCAAGCTTTTGACCTTGAGCACAGAGTTGTTTGCGCATGCGTATATGTTTGTATAACTATTTCACTAACTACCCGAAACTCTATATGAATGAATGAATCACATGATGGATAACCAATTGTAACTAGTGGATTTGATGTTATTATTTTCTTATGGAATCAAATTTATTCTAGCACAGGTTAATAAAAGATGGATGAATTATCTAACAGATAAGTGTTCTCAACAAGTTTTTATTTGAAATGCTAGAAAATATGTCACTTCACAGTTAAATTAAAATCAAGTATTGATATTTCAGTAGAACTACAGGATTCAAGGTTATAAAAGAATTGTCAAATAAAATATGAATTACTTCATAATACTATCATATTCTGTTTTAATCTGATTGAATAACCAAGTATAGGTTTATACACTAGAATTTCAGCCACACTGCCATAATATCCAAAGTAGGTTTGGAACAGTTTGAACGTCCAACACAATTAGTGACAGTGCATTTAATTACTCACTAACATGAAAATCTTAAGTACTTGTAATTATCAGTATAGAGATTGTTGAATTTTTTAAAATTGAGATCATGAACCGATCAATATTAGACCACGATGGAAATGTCCGAAGCACTAGACTGCCGTTTCGTCCTAGTATGGGACTCCTCAGCAGTAAGCACCCACGATCCGGCATGCCGGATTCCAACTAAGGATCTTCGGTCTCGTGCATGAATGCTTAACTTCTAGACCAATGAACCGGTATCCAACGGTGTTAACATCTAACTTCGACAAATCCATCCTGTTTCGCGACCATCTTCCATCGCCTTCGGTGGGTAACTGCTTCATCCGACACGGTTGAACGCCAGTGTTCACGGGCTTCTAACTGGAACTTCGAGAACTACCTCTCAAAGCTAGTCGTAGATGTGCATTGCTAGAGAGTTCATTACTAAAACGAAATAACCGTCCAGTGCTTCCAGGTTTTCAATCGTGGTCTAACATTGATCAGCTCATAATCTCACTTTAAAAAAATTTAAAATATTGACTAACATATTCTATAATAATTACATTAGTATTACTTACTTACTTACGCCTGTTACTCCTCGTGAAGGAGGATAGGCCGCTCACTAGCATTCGCCATCCAACCCTGTCCTTGGCGATCCTTTCTAGCTCCGTCCAGTTCCTATTCATCCTTTTCATATCTGCTTCTATTATCCGACGTAATTTGTTCTTAGGCCTTCCTCTTTTCCGCTTTCCTTCAGGATTCCAAGTTAGGGCTTGTCTCGTGATGCAGTTTGATGATTTGCGTAATGTATGTCCTATCCATCTCCATCGTCTTTTCCTAATTTCTTCTTCAGCTGGAAGCTGATTTGTTCTCTCCGCCTGTAGCTCTTCTAGAGTTACTGCCGGTCCCAAGCCTGGTAAAGGAGGAGGGCTGGGCATGGGGTTAGCGACCCCATCCCGTAGAAAACTAACTCTCTAAAAAAACGCTTACCAGAAAAAATAATTCAAACCATTTTAACTCTGCCCTGGGAGTTAGACGGTCTTCATTTAGAAGAATTATGACGCTTCATGGTGAAAGCCGAGTTCCTTCGGAAGCCACGAGGCCGATGCCCCTTCTAACAACCAGAGTAAAATTTTTGTAGGTACATGGAACGTCCGAACAACGTGGGAGACCGGGAAGACCAGCCAAATAGCAATGGAAATGAGGAGATACAATTTGGCAAGACTGGGAATCAGCGAAACCCACTGAACCCAAGCTGGACAACTAAGGCTAAATACGGGAGAGATGCTACTATACTCCGGTCACGAAAAGGAAAATGCTCCACACAGTCAGGGAGTTGATCTAATGCTGTCCAAAGTATCACGAAATGCACTTGTAGGATGGGAATCTCACGGATCCAGAATCATCAAAGCATCATTCAAAACAAAGAAGGAGGGGATCACAATGAATATTATTCAATGTTATGCACCCACTAATGATAGCTACGACGACATAAAAGATCAATTCTACGAGCGGCTGCAGTCAATCATAGAGAAGTGCCCAAGAAAGGACCTCACTATTCTGATGGGAGATCTAAATGCCAAAGTCGGAATAGACAACACCGGATATGAAGATATTATGGGACGAGATGGACTGGGAGAAAGAAATGAAAATGGAGAAAGATTTGCAAATCTATGTGCATTCAACAAACTGGTCATAGGGGGCACAATGTTTTCACACAAGCGTATACACAAGGCTACATGGATCTCACATTAGTATTATTCTTACATATTTCAAACTTCCTAAGAATAGTAATGTCAGCTTCTCAATGAAGCTATTCAACGTAAAGAATGCTACACTACGAATCCTATCCGCCTGAGTTATACCATAAAAACTACATTTCTTTTACTAACTAGACATTTTCATACTTTCTGCTTACTGACGAATTCAAATCAGTTCAATTAGGAAGTGTTATGTCCTTTAGTTTGGCTACCCACTTTTGGTGCTGAGGATACTTATCTAATCCAGATTAAGAACTTGGCTCAATAGGCTGACCGACCTGACCTTGAAGCTAGACGCGTGAGTTCGAAATGCGGTAGAGAGAAGAAAAATATTCTAACACCTGATTGGCTGACAAGCACACGAATGAGAGAAGGCAAGACAACTGGAACACTACTCGATCTATTCCTGATATCCTGATTTCTTCTGGTTTCAGATTAGTGTAACAAGGTACATGAATAAATAGGTGACTAACCCTACCACAATGTGGAATAATTAGGAAAAATACAATTATGTCCAAAGCTAAGAATTAGAGTAGAAAATAGGGTGCAAAATATTATGGTTAAATTACAATAGCTTCGGAACAGAAAAGGGTATTGCAATGAATCACACATCGAACGAAAGCTTAAGTTCTGTAGAATAGATTAGGGACAAAAATAAATGTTAGTGTTCTACAAGCTTTGCATACAATGAAACAATTTCCCGAAAAACAGCTTTCGTAGTTTCTCAGGGCTTCTTCTTTCCCTGTTCACAACAGGAAGTAATCTCTGAATAGGTAATTTGCTTTATGTGTTACTGAAATCATGAATCAGTAAAGAATAAAAATGATCTATCTACCTAGCAAAATGAGGAAACAACATAAGGTTATTTTATAAAATGCTTAGATTATTTAAAACAAACTATATCATTAACTGACAATTGTCAAGGAAGGCACTGAAAAACCATAGAGTATTGGACAACTTTTCTATTCTAATACAGAATGTCACACCCATGTACATATTAATTAAATATATAATATGTATTAATGTATAGATAAATATAATAAATGGATTGAAAAAACATTGAATAGATTTTATCTGAGCGGAATGTTTGTAGTGTCGTTGCTATGTTAAGGCCATATAACTTATTCTAGCTTCTGAGCAAGCCAATCTATCCGTTCTACTTGAGTCGCGTTTTGTCTTTGTTAATTATTCACTTTTCAACCCTGACTGTTTTTATATGAGCGTATGCGTGTACACTTCTTATCCTATTCATCACATGTCTGTAACTTATTTTTATCTGGATATAAATATTGATTATTGCTTGATTGTGTGGCGCATATATATTGGCGCTCTCTTGTACCAATATTTATGTGTTCAAATAAATAAACATACGTATATCAATAGCATTCATACAATCCAATAGGAGTCAGAACCCAGGCAACTAAATGTTGTTTTTAAAAAAATGAACTATATTAAAGGCCATGAAAGTCATTCACAAACAGTTAACAATAGGATTAGATTAAAAGCAAACAATAATTTTAAGATTGATATCCTTGCGACACTTCAGTATCACTTGAAGTATTTGTCGAGAACCACTACACTTTTAACAACTATTATGTAACTTGATTTTTTTTTCAGAATTTTCAATACAAATGTCAAAACAAATCTACTGTATGGGGCAGAAACTTGGAGAACTACGAAAACCATCATACAGAAGATACAAGTGTTTATTAACAGTTGTCTACGCAAAATCTTCGGATCAGTTGGCCAGACACTATCAGCAACAACATCCTGTGGGAGAGAAAAAGCCAGATCCCAGCGGAGGAAGAAATCAGGAAGAAGCGATGGAAGTGGATAGGACACGTATTGAAAAAAGTACCCAACTGTGTCAGAAGACAAGTCCTCACCTGGAATCCTCAAGGTAAAAGGAGAAGAGGAAGTCCGAAGAACACATTACGCCGAGAAATGGAGACAGACATGAGAAGAACGAACAACAATTGGATAAAACTAGAAGGGAAGGTCCAGGACAGTGGTTTGGAGAATGCTGGTCGGCGTCCTATGCTCCATTAGGAGTAACAGTAGTAAGTAATGTAACTTTCAAGGAACAATTATATTTGTGCAGTTTTATCGGTCAGTCATAAGCGTATGTGAATCGGTTTGGACTCACACGATAAATAAGCATAGTTAGGTGAAATTATCAGGATAAATACCAGAGTAATAGAAGTAATAATGTAATGTAATTTCCTATTGATATTTAAGACTATACTTGATTAGATGTCTTGATACTACAAGTTGGTTATATTTTATTTGGTGGCTAAGAGTAGAACTCAGTGCAATTGATAAATCTCGTTTAGAACAACTAGATGAAAGTAGTTAATTCATAGATACCTCGCTTGAATACATACAAAACGTATGTAATAGAGGAATTTGATCAACATAACATTTACGAAAATTATTGTTAATTTATATTGTTATTAACGATTGAAATATCATCAAAAAGCATACATTAAGTTGCTTTATTTAATGAATGATCTAATTACAACTTTGATTCTATTTTAATCATTATCCGCTACTGTAGAACATAAAAATGTATATATATGAGCTAATATTATTTATAGTAGATTTTAATTAAAGATTAAAACTTTAAATTTGGCATATCTACTTCAAATAACGAAAGAGACACATAATGTCATCGAAGAAGGAAAGTAATTCAGTAAAGGAAATTTTCCTTACTACGATTTCATTTACTTAAGCTATACGATTTTATTCATAGTTAATTTTATTTGCTAAAATAGTAGCCTATAGTAAAAGAGAATATTTTAAAAACTAGGAGTGTATCTTGTCATGAATTGTTTAGGAAAATCATATGTCGAAAGGAAATTATGTAATAATTGTGTGGTGAAAAGTGGTAAGGTGAAGATGATTGTCCACTCGATGGCTATTAAGAGCATGTGAAGCAAGTTATGTCGGGCTAACAAAGCGACCTCTTTCGAAATGCAT